GCACACCCCTTGGGGGGGGGCACGATAAATTCCCGGCTAGAGAGACCGGGGGCCTTATTTTCTTGGGGTCCCCGGGAGAGGAGGGAGCCATTAACCCCGGAGGCCCGGCCAGGGTTTTCCGGTGTTGGGGATGGACCCACATTAGTGATTACCAGCCTGGGGGGGGCCGGGGTACTGTACGGTCGCCCGCACGCGCAGGGCTTAGCCTCTCGCCCGTCTGCGAGCGTCTCTCCCCTCTCCGTCCGCACTCCGCAGCGCCAGCGCGAGGCGCAGTGCATCCGCACCGGTGCCCCGAAGAGCTCATCCGGATCGAAGAGCTCAGATGGATGGTACTTGAACCGCGATGCGGCGCGTCACTGGAATCCAGAGGATCTCAAACTTGTTCACCTTGATGTCGTTCTTCTCGAGGCCTATCTCCGCCTCCTCAGTCGCCTCGAGATCCTGCTCCTCCTATAACTCACACAGGCTTTCACGCGCTGACGCGATACGCTATTGACGACCTCGACCCCGAACCCCAGCCCTCCTCGGTCCGTATCTTGGCTATCTTGTCCTCCAGCTCCTCCTTGAGCTCCTAGGGGCGCGTGTCGAGCACATGTCACTCTTTGTCAGAGAGCAGCCTCGCCGACCTGACCCTCCCTCGTCCTCCCTGCCCCTCCCTCTCCCCGCGCCTCTGCTTCATCTCGCAGTTTTTGAAGGTTGTCCTTCTGCTTCTTGATCTTACCCGCGGCGGAGGACGAGCCTACTCGACGAGATTCGAGGTGAACCCGAAGTGGCACATCGGCAAAGTCACTGATGGGCTGTGCTGGAAGGTGTGTGCGCTCCCTTGCGATCAAGCGTGCTCGTCTTGAACTTGCTGCGCGGGTTCATCCAACACGAGAAGACCTCGACACCAATGTCAATGGCGTCGCCAAACCATGCGCCCTTCTGCGCGCCTAATCGCCTCATTGTATATAGATCACGCGAGATGATGATGGCTCGGATCCGTAACGCTCTTCTGCGCGCCCTCCAGCTCCACGAGCTCATCCTCCTCCCGCTGGATCTTTGCCTATGACTCACCACCCGCCATCTTACAGCCCCGCCGAGCTGCCTCGCGCGGAGGAATCGTCTCCTGCAGCCGGTCGCTCTTCGTCTCGTACGAGGAGCGCAGCTTGGCAATTTCCTAAAAAGTACGTGGTGGACTCGAGCCTGTCACCTGCACGTGTCTTGAGAAGGGTGCTTGGCAACACTCTCCTTGTCAATCTTCTCCTCCACCTCCGCCTTGCACCGCTCCTCGAAGGCTGGCCGCTCCTCGTCTGTTTCACAGCCACCTCGGCGTGAGTAGGCGCCGTTCGCGCGCAAGTATACAGAGTGATGCTGTCGCCCGAGCGGCCGTAGAGCTTGAGCTTCTTGTTCACGAATAGGCCTATCCACACCACTGGGCATGGAGAGACGCCGTCAAGAGCTGACGTTCGCTTCGTGCCAACGGACACCGCGGCTCTCGCTCCGGTACACGTCGTCTACCACCTGTGAACAGCGACATCTCGCCTCACGCCGTGAACAGGCTGTCGCTCCGCTGTTGAAGCGGGCGGCCGTCTGCCGCCTGCTTCTTGAGCGCTGATAGCTCCTTCGTCTCGTCGAGCCACTCCGGCAGCGAGACGTATCGCGTCCCCGATGGCGGCATGGGTAGCACATCTCCCTCCTAACGCCGATAATCCGGCAAGATCTTACCGAGATTCCAAACGGCACCGGGCGGAACAGCCTCGCTCCTCAAGCGCGACCCGGCGCGGCTCGCTCGGCAGAGAGTCGCCGAGTGGAAACCAGATGCGGTGTTCGTCGACCGCCTGATCAGCAGTCGAGCGTGCTGCGACGCACAGCGCGGCTGATGACAGACGGCTGCATCTAGGCCCGCCTCGTCGAAACCGTACTTGGACTCGTCGAAACGCAGCGTGAGGTGCGCCCATAGCGCGGGTCGGCAGACGATCACGCCGTCTTCGCGCTTCGGCTCCGCCACGTCCTCGAAGGCGCCTACTCGGCCAGGAGCTGTGAATGGCGATCATGGATGGGGGATCTTCCACGTCCCTCAAACGCGCCCTCTAGCCGCGCGCTGAAGACCACCTTTGGGTCGAGGAACGAGCGGTCCACTTTGCTCGGAGGGGGCGAAGGCAGCGTGTCGTCGTTCGGCGCGGTGGGCTTGCTGGAAGTTGCGCCACTGCCGCTCGAGCTCGAGGCTGTGTCAGAGGAGGCTGGCTCAAGGATAGGCCTGTGGAGCGGGCACTCGACGAACTGCGCGATCTCGACGCGCGTGAAGGGGCCTTTGAGGTAGCACATCGCGTAGCGGCTGTTGAAGACGACCGGGTCGCCGCCCTTTGCCTGGTAGAGGAGAAACTGGCGCGGCTCGAGCTTGCGCACCGTATCATCAAGCTTTTGCTGCCCAATACCTTTGAGCACACGCTCGCGGTCCTGCTTGGTCTGCAGCCGGCCGATGCACCAGAGGCCAGCGTTAGAGAGGGCCTTGTAATCGAGGTCGATCGGGTTCTGTGTGGCGAGAACGACGCCGAGCCCGACGGCGCGGGCCTGCTTCATCAGCGTCAGCAGCGGCGTTTTGGATGGCGGGGATTTCGGGTATGGCGGCACGTAGCCTGCAACTTCGTCAAAAAAGACGAGCGCGCGCAGATCATCAGAGCCAGGCTGCGCGCGCGACCAGGCGAGCAGGCGGCCGAAGAGAAGCCCAACGAAAAAGTGGCGCTGGTCCTCATTGAGGTGGGCGATGTTGAAGACGCTCACTGGCGTCTTGCCTGGCGATGTCGCGAGCAGCGCGTCCATGTCGAGTGGGATACCCTTGGTCCACGGCTTGAAGCTTGGCGCGGCGACGACACCGTTTAACTTCATTGCGAGCTCCATTCGGTCATCCGGGGGCAGGAACTTATCGAGCGGGAAAACGCCAACCTGTTCACACGGACAGTGTTCATAGGACGAGATTCCGTCTCGTCAAGTCTCTTTCCACACCTTCTTGAAGGGCGGGTCCACCAGCTTGAGCACCAGCGCCTCGAGGTCGGGGTCCTCGCCGTTCGTCCATGCCGTCTCGAGCACGGTCGACATGACGATGTGGTTCGGGTCCTTGACCGGGTCCGCCTTCTTGCCAATGAGCCCCATCAACCCGCTGACCGTGTCTTGCACGAGCCCTCGGCATGCCTCAGAGTCGGCCAGCGTTGCTGCGGGCGGGCGGCGCAGCGCGCCGAGCACGTTGACTGGGACACCTGTCTCGCTACCGGGCGTGTAGAGTCCGAACGACATCGTGTCGGCGAGGTGGGCTATCCGGTCGAGGTCGATGCCGCTGCCGGCGGTACCCTTGCGCCACTGCGCGGCGAGTGCCTCCGCGTCCTCTTTCGGAGGTACCCACGGCGCGAACGCCTCTGCAGCGAGGCCCTTGAAGACGAGTCCGAGGTTGCCGAGGTCACCCTTTGGGTCTATGCAGATGACGGGCACGCCGCTTGAGATGAGCTCCTATGCCACACAGGCGCAGCTGCTGTTTCCGGTGCCAAGGGCTACTACTAATGAGAGGGTAGCAATAGCTGCATGGCCTTAAACAGGCATCGTAGTGCAAACAGGATGCATCTATGAGGCGAGAGCCTCGAGGAGGACCAGCGAAAGGCCGGTTTTGCCGCTTCCTGTCATGCCAAGGACAATGCCATGCGTCTTGAGGCGCGAGTTCTTCACCTTGACGTCCTCATCCGAGCCAGGCTGGCGGCCAAGGTACATGGCCGCTGCAGCACGTCTCACTCGCGCGGACGGCCGTATCTAGAGTTACGCAGAAGAGAAATAAGCGCTGGCTTAAGAGAATTTTACACCGCTCCCTCGCACGACACTGGGCACGGGACTGGCACAAGAGAAATCCGGGCTGCCGAGGCGTGCCCTGGAGTGACTGGACGTGAAATCCCTGTGTGTGTGGCGGCGGCGTGCCGTCCTCCCATCTCTCCTTTGGTGTATGTTTTCTTTCTTTGTGGGGTGGGGTGGGGATGTCGGGGTGGGGAGTGGGTGGGCGCCGGAGTGGGAGTGGTGTGACTGCTCCTGTGGTGCGGGCGACGGCTTCTGCGCCCGCGCCTCGCCTGTCGCGACCGTGAATCGTGTCGTGCGACCTAACATTTTTGTATCGCCCTCCTCTTTCTTTCTGGAGTGACTCGACGTCCGCATCTTGACAAAGATCGACCCAGCCCTGGATGGACCCTCTACCCATGCTCGTCCACCGCGGGCGCCTGCGGCGCCGCTGCGCTCTAACCGCCATCGTCGTCGGGGAGAGGGGGGACGACACTGCTCTGGCAGGGTTCGTGAGTGAATTTTCACACTTTCACTTTCACATGTGAATTCATGTGAATTTCACATGAAACGTTTCGGCCGCCCCCGTTTCACTGAAAATTTCACAAGTTCGACTACTTTCGAAGGCTCTGGCATCTCCGAGGCGGCAGCGGCGGAGGCGGCAGCAGTCGAGGCGGCAGCGGCGGAGGCGGCAGCGGAGAGAGCGGCGGTGCGCCTACCACTGCCGGCACCGGTAGGGATCTGTGCCACCAATGCCGCGCGTTCCTGCTTCCCTGCAGCGAGGCCGTGGTCAAGGCCGTGGTCGTCCCCAAGGCTCAAAGAACAGGGGCCCGCCCTCACTGCATCAAAACGCGGTGTTTGAAAGCGAGGAAGTGTAGAAAGGAAAGAGCCCACAATAACTAGTGAGAGGAGGTGCAGCTTGGTTCGTGTCCTCGGGCGCTCGAGGACGTGTTGTGTTGCCTCAATGTTCTTTTACTGCGCGCCCCCGCCGAAATACACTGCAAATACACCATACACACGCGAGATGCGTCGGCAGCGACGCGCACGACCTCTTAAGAAGCACCGTGTCGTTAGGGTTAGGGTTAGGGTTAGGGTTAGGGTCAGAGAGCGTTCAAGCCGTTGTGCAGCTCCTAAGAGAATGGTCCGGTTTGGGCCGAAACCAAATGGCGGAATCAGCGGTCCGTCGACACGAGCTCTCGGTGAACGCTTTGGGTTCTTCGGGCTAGGGTTAGGGTTAGGGTTAGGGTTAGGGTTAGGGTTAGGGTTAGGGTTAGGGTAAGGGGTTGGTTGTCGTCGCGCGCTCTCGATATCTGGCTAAGACAGAGACACAGCAGCAGAGGCGACCCAAGCGACACATCAGAGCATGGATGCTTGGGGGCGCGAGCCGCCATCTTGGACTGTGAGGCGAGTATTTGCAACCGGGAGCTCGCCGCCGCCCCTACACCGCCGCCGCCGCCCTCCCGGTGGCAGATAATAGCCCAAGTCGAAGAGTGCGCCCCGCCCTCGGTATCTGGGCGGCAGGCGGGACTAGAGAGGCACGCTGGTGCACGGATCGCCGATGGGGGCGCGAGCCGCCATCTTGGACTGTGAGGCGAGTATTTGCAACCGGGAGCTCGCCGCCGCCCCTGGAGGCCACGCGGCGCAAGCTGGACCGCTGCCGCGACGACTTGGACGAGGCGGAGGACGAGCTGGAGGCATATTCGGAGACACTTCCAATACACGTCCTAGACACGTCCTAGACACGTCCTAGACACGCCTCGTAATCTGCTAAGGTACGCACCATACTTCGCAGAGTAGCGTCCGAGGCGTCTCGGGAGCCACCTCGGGTTCAGTAGGCAAACTTGCGCTAGAAGCTTTCCTTCACTCCCGAACGCACGCACCGCCTGCCGGGCCTCTCGATTTAACGCCTCCTCTCGCCCGACTCGAAGGCGAAGGAGGAGGAGCACGCCGCACTCAAGCGTGAGAAGGAGGCGGCTGACCGTGAGAGAGAGCAGACACGTCGCGAGTTCGAGCGCGCACAGAAAGACGCGAGGAGGTGACCGAGTGCCGTCAAGCGTGCTTCACTACGAAGCGCGTGGAGCCAACTCCAAACACGACACGGTGGCCGTAGGCGATCGAGCGCGGCGCAGCGCCGTGCGTCGGCGCTCGGCCAGGTGCTGGACGAGAATGAGGACGAGGACGAGGACGGCTTAATCGATGATGACGACTCAGAGCTGACGCCCCTCCAGCGGCGTCTTCGCCGATGGCGACGCCAATGGCGCCGTGTCGCTGCGCGGCTACGTCGTTTCTATAACCGCCGGTGGCCGCTGCGGCGGATGGTGCTGCACATCGACACTCGCTTTGGTTCGAGCACATCGGTCCCTTCGCCCTCGCCGAGCGGACGGAATGCTGTGAACAACGATGCTCAGCCTCAAGCTCTGAATAGGTCTACTTCGCTTTCGCCGAGTGGATGGCCGACACCGCGCTGCTACACTTGTTGGTCGTCTACCTTCCGCTATTGCTCGTGCATTCGCTCTCCTTGGTGCACGCCGTTGTCACCTCAAGCACCGCCTTTACCGAGGGAAGACGCATATCGGCCGATCTCTCGGCTACATCCGGCAACATCTCGACCGTAGGCTCCTCCATCACCGAGTGGAAGACCAGGGACACGCTCAACTCGAACTACGCCGACAACTACCTTGTCGCCGGCTACTATTTCTTCGGCGGTCTTCCTGAGCTGGCCAATTTTTACTACTCCGGGTTCTCGGGCGCTTGGCCAAGCATGCGGTACGTCTACTCGGCGACGGTTCCAGCCCCGTTTGTGCACGTATGTTTCGTGGCCGAAAGATACCCACACAAATACACCTAAGATGTAGGTCCTGGCTTCGCTCCTCTTCTACGCCTACGCCACGTACCAGCGCTCTCTCTCCACGTACCAGCGGCAGGCACCATTCCGAGAAAGAGTAACCGTGACTGCCGAGATTGCGCCGTGATTTTGCCGAGAGACCTCACAAAAGCGGGGTCTCTCATCGCCCTCGACTCACGTGGCAGGCGTATGCGGAGGTGCACAGCGGTGGACAGCGTAACAAGATCGGGTTCGCGCGTAATTTGTTGGCCGAGTGGGACATCGACGTCTCGAGCCCCAAGGAGCTAATCGAGGGGAGAAGCCGCGTCGCCGAGACCTTCCGAGCTCTCATCAGCGAGCTGAAACGGCTGCAAAACGACACCACAGCAAGGACAGCGCCTTCCACGCGTCTACCTGTGCGCCTAGGCGAGTCGCAGTGGCGCCAGCGCGTCCGAGATCGTTCGGCGTCGGATGCGCGGCGGCTGAGGTTGCGTCGCGTGGCGGCCAGCGTCGCGCACACGTTGCTTCAGGTGCATCTTCATCATCGCCAATAATTCAGCAACGAGGGCGCTTGATAGCCAAACACGTGAATAGGTCGGCGTAGTAATTCTCGTCATCTACCTTCTCGGAGGGGGCGCCGCCGAGCTCTCCACGGAGATCATCTGCTTGCCAATCTGCACCCTCTATTATCGGCTCGACCAATCTTGGCCAATCTCGGCCGCAGGTACTCACCTTCCTGCCGATGGGCTCGAGCGAGTACGTGGCCACTGTCGCCATCTCGGGCACCAATGCGGTGATGCCGACAGTGACGCCCGTACTGGTCGAGCCGCCGAGCGCGATAACCCGCTGCGGAGAGGCATTCTTCACGCATAATGCGAAAAATTAGGTCAAGTTCGCCAAGTACGACAACCCTCTACACACGCGGATCCACATGACGGTCGCGTCGCATTTTCCTGGGCCGCAGGCTGTGAAGCGACGTACGCTCTATAGCAGTGTGACCTCTGCGAACAGGTTGGCTTCTTCCTTGGCCGGATGCTCACGCTTGGCACGGTCCTACAGTAGCCGCGATGAGCCTAAGAGATTAGCTGAAGTTTGTTTCGCCGGAGTCTTCGGCATTGTCGCGCTTCTTCATCGCCCGCCCCGTCTAGTGAGACGCCCGAGCTCCACTCTGCCTTGTGTGAGCTCAGGTATTCCTGGCTTACTACGGTTGCTTCACCGGTGCGGACGTCATCGTGCCGAAGAAGCCGCTGCAGGTCTGTGGCGGCTCCGACGTTAATTTTGCCATCGGGGCGCAGGTCCAGCTTAGCGGAGGCCTTTCATAGCTACTCCAACAGAGCGGGTCGCTTCCCGCTGTGATAGGACCACTTTGCGCAGACCCTGCTCCTGCTGGTGCTAATCGAGTTTGTGCTGCCCAAGCTCATCAACCTGGGGCAGGCGCTTATCGAGCCACCCCAGCCCTGACTTCCGTTCTTGACGACGTCTCTCCACACTGCACCACTCTGACTCAGGTGTTACTCAAGCTCGTTGTGCTGCCGCTGTTGCTGCGCCGGCCAAAGGGCGAGATCTACCTCAAGGTTGAGAAGCAGGTGTGTAGAGGGTCCTTGGCCGGATCAAGAGCTTTGAATGCTTCAGGCTGCGCCTGTAAATAGGTGATCCACCTCGTCTACTTCCAGAGCCTCTTTTGGATGCTCATGCCGTTTCTGCCGTGGGCATCGGCCCTCATGTGCCTCTGCTTCCTCGGCGATTTGAGCCTCGCCCCTCAACAGCATCGCAAGTCCACGCCATTCACATTTCCGCCGCCGGTGGATAGGCGACTTCTTCTTCGACCAGTTCTTCCTGCTGCGCTTTTGCTCTAAGGCGGCGGCAGGAACTTCGACTGC